GGGTCTAATAGGGATTCACCTAAGGGTCTAATAGGGACTCACCTAATGGGCCTCTCTAATAGGAACTAACCTAAGGGGCCTCTCTAACAGGGACTCACCTAGTTGCCTCTCTAATAGGGACTCACCTAAGGGCCTCTTTAACAGGGACACACCTAAGGGTCTAATAGGGACCCACCTAAGGGTCTAATAGGGACTCACCTAAGGACCACTCTAATAGTGACTCACCTAAGGGCCTCTCTAACAGACTCACCTAAGGGTCTAATAGGGACACATCTAAGGGTCTCTTTAATAGGGACTCACCTAAAGGTCCCCTAATAGGGACTCCCCTAAAGGTCTCTCTAAGAGGGACTCGCCTAAGGGACTCGTCTTAGGGGCCTCTCAAAGAGGGACTCACCTAAATGTCTCTTTAACAGGGACTCGCCTAAGGGCCTCTCTAACAGGGACTCACCTAAGGGTCTCTCTAACATGGACTCGCCTAAGGGCCTCTCTAATAAGGACTCACCTAAGGGACTATCTAATAGGGACTCGCCTAAATGTCTCTTTAACAGGGACTCACCTAAGGGCATCCCTAATAGAGACTCACCTAAGGGGCCTCTCTAACAGGGACTCGCCTAATTGCCTCTCTAATAGGGACTCGGCTAACGGGCTCTCTAATATGGACTCACCTAAGGGCGTCTCTAATAGGGACTCACCTAAGGGCCTCTCTAACAGGGACTCACCTAAGGGTCTAATAGGAACTCACTTAAGGGCCTCTGTAATAGAACATAAGAACAAAGGCAACTGCAGAAGGCCTATTGGCCCATACGAGGCAGCTCCTATTTATAACCACCCAATCCCACTCATATACATGTCCAACCCATGCTTGAAACAATCGAGGGACCCGACCTCCACAATGTTACGCGGCAATTGGTTCCACAAATCAACAACCCTGTTACTGAACCAGTATTTACCCAAGTCTTTCCTAAATCTAAACTTATCCAATTTATACCCAATGTTTCGTGTTCTGTCTAGTGTTGATACTTTTAATACCCTATTAATATCCCCTTTGTTATGTCCATTCATCCACTTGTAAACCTCTATCATGTCACCCCTAACTCTTCGCCTTTCCAGTGAATGTAACTTAAGCTTTGTTAATCTTTCTTCATATGAAAGATTTCTAATTTGGGGAATTAACGTAGTCATCCTACGCTGGACACGTTCAAGTGAATTTATATCCATTCTATAATATGGCGACCAAAACTGAACTGCAAAATCTAAATGGGGCCTAACTAGAGCAAGATATAGCTTGAGAACCACACCAGGTGTCTTGTTACTAACGCTGCGATTAATAAATACAAGTGTCCGATTTGCCTTATTACGAACATTTATGCATTGATCCTTTTGTTTTAAATTCTTACTAATCATAACTCCCAGATCCCTTTCGCAATCCGACTTCACAATCTCAACACCATCTAGCTCGTATCTTGTAACTCTATCATCATTACCTAACCTCAGAACTTTACATTTATCAGCATTAAACTGCATCTGCCAATCCTTTGACCATTTCAAAACCCTATCTAGATCAATTTGAAGTGATAGTGAGTCCTCCTCCGAAATAATTTCCCTACCGATTTTCGTATCATCGGCAAATTTGCAAATGTTGCTACTCAAACCTGAATCTAAATCATTTATATATATTATAAACAACAGAGGTCCCAGGACAGAGCCTTGAGGCACTCCACTAACAACATTTTCCCACTCTGACTTGACTCCATTTATACTAACTCTGTTTCCTTTGGTATAGCCATGCCCTAATCCAGTTTAATATAGCACCCCCAATACCATGAGCCTCTATCTTTTAATCAGTCTTTCATGTGGCACTGTATCAAAAGCTTTGCTAAAGTCAAGGTACACAACATCACAATCCTTACCACTATCAACTGCCTCAACTATGCTAGAATAAAAAGATAACAAATTTGTTAAACATGAACGGCCATTTATAAAACCATGTTGCGACTCAATTATTAATTTATGTTTTTCAAGATGAAGACGAATTTTATTTGCTATTATAGATTCGAGTAACTTACCCACAATAGACGTTAGGCTAATTGGTCGATAGTTAGACGCAAGTGATCTATCTCCTTTCTTGAAAACTGGTATCACATTAGCAACTTTCCAAAACTCTGGCACTCTGCCTGACTCTATTGATTTATTAAATATGGTTGACAGTGGGTCACAAAGCTCCTCTTTGCATTCTTTAAGCACCCTGGCAAACACTTCATCCGGCCCTGGGGATTTGTTTGGTTTGAGTTTTACTATTGTTTAAGAACATCCTCCCTGGTAACTGTTAAACTCGTCAACCTGTCCTCGTCCCCACCCACATAGACTTGTTCGGCTGAAGGCATATTGTTAAGTTCCTCTTTAGTATATACAGATACAAAATATTTAATAAAAATACTACTCATCTCTTCATCACTATCTGTTATTTGACCTGTCTAAGTTTTTAATGGACCTATCCTTTCCCTAGTCTTGGTACGATTTAACTGAAAAAACCCTTTAGGATTTGTCTTTGCTTGCCCTGCTATGCGAACTTCATAGTTTCTTTTTGCTTTCCTTATCTCTTTTTTTAACATTTGTAACCAGTTGTACGAATTCCTGTTCTAAAGTGACCTCCCCATTTTTAATCCTTTTGTACCAAGCTCTCTTTTTACCTATAAGGTTCTTCAAATTCTTTGTTATCCACTTTGGGTCATTAGTATTCGATCTATTCAATTTGTATGGTATACTACGTTCCTCTGCTTTGTTTAGAATATTCTTAAATAAGTTATATATTGAATCCACATCGAAATCCCCATTTAAGTCACCTATCGCTGGGTTCATGTTTCGCTCCAAGACCGGCCCACACCCCATACCCAAGACTTTCCAATCAATTTGACCCAAAGAATTTCTTAGGCTATTAAAATCAGCTTTTCGAAAATCTGGCACTTTAACAGAATTTTCTCCTACAGGTCTATTCCATTCTATGCTAAATCTGATTTCTTTGTGATCACTGTTCCCTAGCTCACTCCCTATTTCGATGTCATTAATTTGTGTTTCCCTGTTAGTTAACACTAAATCTAAAATATTATTTTCCCGTGTTGGTTCCTTAATGTGTTGCGTAAGAAAGCAATCGTCAATTAATTCTAGAAAATCTTCTGCTTCACTATTCCCTGTTTTGTTCAACCAGTTTATTCCACTAAAATTAAAGTCACCCATGACGTAAATACTGTTAGATCTAGATGCCCGAGATATTTCATCCCATAGATGCTTTGCTTCCATTCTGTCTAAATTTGGTGGCCTATATATAACTCCTATTATAATATTATTTGTTTTTTCGTATAATTCTATCCAAATAGTTTCTGTGTGTGGCTCAGTTTTGATTCCCTCTTTGAGACTACATTTCAAATGGTCCCTAACATATATGGCTACTCCCCTCCTCGTCTAATATATCTATCTGTGTGAAATAGTTTAAATCCATTTATTTGATATTCAGCTAATAGTTCTCTATTTTCTACATTCATCCACGTTTCGGTAAGTGCAATAATATCTATTTTTGTCTGTGCAGACAAGAGCATTTAATTCGTTAATTTTATTTCTTAGACTTCTACTGTTAGTGTAATATACCCTAAGTGAATTGTTATTTTGAGGCCCTTCTCTTTCCCTGATCATTTTGCCAATTCCTTTCTCCCACAAACACATACTTTTATTACCTCCTTCCTCCAAATCAATTCCCATACCTCTATCTACTAACAGTTTAAACCCAAACACCTCTAACCACTTCTTCCAACGAGTTCGCAACAGCAACAACCCCAGCCCTCGATAGATGCACCCCATCACGAGCATACATTTCATTTCTTCCATTGAAGTGTTCCCAGTTGTCTATGAAAGATATTGCATTTGATTTGCAATATCTTTCCAGCCAGCAATTGACACCAAGTGCCCTTGACATCCATTCATTTCCCACTCCCTTTCTTGGAAGAATGCCACATATGATCGGGATTCCTCCCTTGCTCCTAACTAATTCAATGGCTGTCCTGAATCTCTGTATTAGTTCCTCACTCCTAACTCGTCCAACATCATTACCCCCTGCACTAATACAAATAATGGGTTTGTTCCCATTTCCTGTCATAATATCATTCATGTTTCTAACAATATCACCAAATCCAGCTCCCGGGTAGCAAACCCTTAATCTGTTCCCCCTATCTCTGGCACAAAACGTTCTGTCTAAATACCTCACCTGGGAATCTCCCACAACCAAAATTCGCTTCGATTCTCCCTTTTCCTTTCGAGCAGTTTGAGGGACCTGCGCTTTAATGCTCCTCGTTACTTTGTCTTTGCCACCTCGTTGAACAACAGGTTCAACACAGCACTCGTCCTCTAATACGTCAAATGCATTAAAAGTCCTTAGGTGTAGGCTATTAGTTGTCGGTTTTGCCAAGGTCTTCTTAAGACCCCTGTCTTTCACAACTTGCCAAGACGAGGACTTCTTAATACTGGTCCCGTCAGTCCTTCTTAATGAGGTCCCGTCAACACTGGCCCCCTCCCTCGCCTCCTCCCGAAGTCCCAGCCGTCGCACCTCCTCCCGCAGGGAATCCATCTCTGCTCTCAGAGCTCCAACCATACTCACCAAATCCCTCACCAATCCCTCCATTATTGCAATAATAATGTTATTAGAATCGAAGCTCCAGCTAACACAACCTCTCACTGTGACTGCACCTGACTGTTAAAAATATCAATAGGGACTCACCTAAGGGTCTAATAGTGACTCACCTAAGGGCCTCTCTAACCAGGACTCACCTAAGGGCCTCTCTAACAGGGACTCGCCTAAGGGCCTCTCTAACAGGGACTCGCCTAAGGGCCTCTCTAATAAGGGCTCACCTAAGGGTCTAATAGGGACTCGCCTAAGGGCCTCTCTAATAGGGACTCGCCTAAGGGCCTCTCTAATAGGGACTCGCCTAAGGGCCTCTCTAACAGGGACTCACCTAAGGGCCTCTCAGGCATGTCCTTGACCGTGTACACCTGCAGGGACACCATCTCTCCTCTGCCCTTCTCGTTGGTGGAGTAGATCACGCCCATGAAGGCCACCCCTGACGCCAGCCCCGGCACCGCGAACGTCGGCACCTGAAACACACACACACATACATCGTCAGTAGAGAGGACACACACGCCCCTCCGTTAATATACACACGGCTCTGCTACATGTACACATAGGGATCAGGAACACACACACATAGAATTGGGATGTAAATATCATTTATACATGTACACGTGAGCTATGTTCACACACATATACAAACATAATGTATACAATGTATACAATCGTCCCCACATCCCCCAATTCACACATTCATGACCTAGGGCAGCCTCTGGCGCCTGACTGAGACAATTCCCATTAAAGACACCATGGGAACATTATACTGGTAAGAGGCAGCAAGAGACATGATGAACAACACTATCCACAAGGATCACAAAGGTGCAGTCAAGCTTGCACCGCTCCAAAAGCAGAGGAATATATAAAGGAAAGGCAAGGATATACCCCATGAGATAATGAGAGATGTTAAGGAGGTAAAGCAAGAAGTATAAGGGCGTGGAGAACCAAAATGACTAACAAAACACCAGAGAGAGAGAGAGAGGGGGGGGAGGGAGGTGGGGGAGGGGGGATAGGCGAATACTCGAGGGGGAGGGAGGGAGGGAGAAGGAGAATACTCGAGGGCCAGGAATGAATACCTCGGTGTGAGAAGAGAAGCGGAGAGACACTATGAAAATGACAGAAGAAAAAAGACAAAGAACAAACTGCTTCACAGTCACATCAGGAAGAACACCGGTGTAGGAACCGGCAATAAAATATAGGAAAGGGGAGGACAGGTTCAGGAAGAACGAGAAACGTGTGTGTGTGTACTCACCTAGTTGTGCTTCAGGGGGTTGAGCTCTAACTCTTTGGTCCCGCCTCTCAACTGTCAATCAACTGGTGTACAGATTCCTGAGCCTACTGGGCTCTATCATATCTACATATAAAACTGTATATGGAGTCAGCCTCCACCACATCACTGTCTAATGTATTCCATCTGTTAACTACTCTGACACTGAAAAAGTTCTTACTAACGTCCCTGTGGCTCATTTGGGTACTCAGTTTCCACCTGTGTCCCCTTGTTCGCGTCCCACCAGTGTTAAACAGTTTATCTTTATCTACGCTGGAAATTCCTCTTTTGAATTTTGAAGGTAATGATCATGTCCCCCCTTACTCTTCTGTCTTCCAGTGTCGTGAGGTGCATTTCCCGCAGCCTTTCTTCGTAACTCATGCCTCTTAGTTCTGGGACTAGTCTAGTGGCATACCTCTGAACTTTTTTAAGCTTCGCCTTGTGCTTGGCAAGGTACGGGCTCCATGCTGGGGCCGCATACTCCAGGATTGGTCTTACGTATGTGGTATACAAGATTCTGAATGATTCTTTACACAGGTTCCTGAAGGCAGTTCTGATGTTAGCCAGCCTCGCATTCGCTGCAGATGTTATTCTTTTGATGTGGGCTTCAGGAGACAGGTTTGGTGTGATATCAACTCCTAGATCTTTCTCTCTGTCCGTTTCCTGAAGGACTTCCTTCCCCAGTTGTGACCCAAAGTTCCTTCGCTCCAGATGTTCCACTAGCTTTTATCGCATAATTTTCTCCAATAACTTGCATGGTATGCAAGTTAGGGACACTAGCCTGTAATTCTGTGTGTGTGTGTGTGTAATTACCTAAGTGTAATTATCTAAGTGTAGTTACTGGATGAGAGCTACGCTCGTGGTCCCGTCTTCCCAGCACTCTGTCATATAACGCTTTGAAACTACTGACGGTCGAAGCCTCCACCACCTTCTCACCTAACTTGTTCCAACCGTCTACCACTCTGTTTGCGAAAGTGAATTTTCTTATATTTCTTCGGCATCTGTGTTTAGCTAGTTTAAATCTATGACCTCTTGTTCTTAAAGTTCCAGGTCTCAGGAAATCTTCCCTATCGATTTTATCAATTCCTGTTACTATTTTGTATGTAGTGATCATATCACCTCTTTTTTTTCTTCTGTCTTCTAGTTTTGGCATATTTAATGCCTCTAACCTCTCCTCGTAGCTCTTGCCCTTCAGTTCTGGGAGCCACTTAGTAGCATGTCTTTGCGCCTTTTCCAGTTTGTTGATGTGCTTCTTAAGATATGGGCACCACACAACCGCTGCATATTCTAGCTTTGGCCTAACAAAAGTCGTGAACAATTTCTTTAGTATATCGCCATCCATGTATTTAAAAACAATTCTGAAGTTAGAAAGCGTGGCATAGGCTCCTCCCATAACGATCTTTATGTGGTCCTCAGGTGATAGTTTTCAATCTAGAAACACCCCTAGATCTCTTTCTTTATCAGAATTCTGATAATTTGTGTGTGTGTACTCACCTAGTTGTGTTTGCGGGGGTTGAGCTCTGGCTCTTTGGTCCCGTGTGTGTGTGTGTGTGTGTGTGTGTGTGTGTGTGTAATCACCTAATTGCCTAATTGCTCTTGCCCTTCTTGCCCTTGTCCACTATGGCGGTGTGTGTGTGTGTGTGTGTGTGAGAGAGAGAGAGAGAGAGAGAGAGAGAGAGAGAGAGAGAGAGAGAGAGAGAGAGAGAGAGAGAGAGAGAGAGAGAGAGAGAGAGAGAGAGAGAGAGAGCCGACAATAGATCCCAGCAAGGCTTCACAACAGAGTAGGGACAAGGGCCTGAACAGAGAGGCGGCAGTAAACCAACACTGGAGGAGGAATTAGAGATTACCATTGAAGAGGTTAACTGAACGTGACAAGCCCTGTTTGACCAGACAAAATCCCACCATGTATAAAGAGGGAGCAGACTATACTTGCTTCTCTTGAAAGTAGTAGAAACAGGAGACCTACCAGATAGTTGAAAGTACCCCTCACACGCAACCACACACCCATACACACACACCCATACACACACACACACACACCATACACACACCCCCACACACACCCCCATACACACACCCCCATACACACACCCCCATACACACACCCCCATACACACACACCCACATACACACACACCCATCCCCCCTACAAATCAACACAATACCCACCTTATTGGTAACATTGGCCAGCAAGCGGTTGGAGCGAGGCTCGTAGAGCTCCAGCAGTACGAAGGTCTGGGGGTGTGTGTGTGGTGTGGAAAAAAAAGTAGTTAGTAAACAAGCCGCCGTCAAAGCCAGCCACACACCGCACACGAAGGTCTAACCACCGACACGGTCAGATTATACGCCGAGCAGTTGTGCACTGGATCTGGACGACCTACACCAGCAATACGCAATACGGAGAATTATAACCAGCATAGATAATGATTCAATTAATAAACCGCTCAACCAGGTTAGCTCTACAACACTTTCATTCAGTTGAATATGCAATGCACAGCAATTATGAGGATGATAACACAGCACGGCACAGCAATTATGAGGATGATAACACAGCACGGCACAGCAATTATTCTGTGCTGTGCATAATTATGCATCATGATAACAAGATGCACAGCAATTATGAGTACTAAGCTTGGAAGGGATATCTGGGGCAAGCAGGTGCAGTATGTGAACGGGATCAAGGAACAGGTGTACTCCAATCACTTCGGACAATCGGGTATCGAGCGATGACCCTGCAAGAAACAAGGCTGTCGTTGTACCGACCAGTCCAAGTGGCTGAATAGAATATTCAAGAGTGTCAAGATGCCAAAAAACAAGAACAGAATGATCAGATGATTATGAATGATCAGACACCAGATGATCAACATCACATACTTGATTTCATGGAATATTCGAACGAGGGACAGTTAACGTAATATGTAGTACAATGTTCATAGAGCTTGGTCATAAATATGTGTAGACCATAGAGCTTGGTATTACATATGTGTAGGCGATAGAAGTTGGTCTACCAGAACTTGAGACATGGAAGTTCTGACGTGTTGTAGAGCACTATACACGTATACTGCTCTACAACAACCTCAATACTCTACAACCTGCTCTATGTAGAGGGGGTTATGGTGGAAGATGACATTGCTAGGGACAGTGTGCTCCAGGGGCCAGTACAGGTGTTCCTGTGTCATCACCTAACACCTGTTGGGTGATGACACACATGTTGAGCAATGAACTTTACCCCTAACACGTTTGTGTCGCATACAGTGTTGTGTGTCACAGGTGTTTAAGTCACAGGGTGAACCCCGGCATGTGTTTATCGTGTGTTTGTGGACAATAAGGTAGGCATTTAGTGAGCATATGTGTGTGTGTGTCCTGTGCTCACTGACCCAAGGTTCTGGTAATGTTGAATGCAGGTGTTTATAAAAATGATGTTTTTTCATTTATAAATTACGTTTATAAAACACACATTTTTTATTGTAAAATGAATACTTATTTTCATTGTATGAACTTTAATAAGTTGCACGAAATTTTGATATTTTCTTCAGCCTTGATCTTGACCTCTTGATATTTCCTCAACTTTCAAACCAAATATATATATATATGTGTTCCTCTCGGCCAGTACCTATTAAGCAAGTCCAAAATAATACACACACACACACACACATTCACACACACACACACACACACACACACACACACACGTACGACATGATCGGATTTACTTATATAAAACAAAGCCATATTTTCTCTGTAAATTCCAGTTTGGCAGCAGTAATTGTTTCTGGAATCTTTCCTTAATAAGACTGCTCATAGCTCAGACTATAGTGCTTGGCCCTCACACGAGTGAGGTCCAGGGTTCGAGTCCCCCTGAGCCCAGGTGAATGGAATGTTTATTTCCACGATAGTGTGGATGCCAATTTATAAAGCCATTTTCCTCTTAAAAAATGGTCACACACGCTCGTTCGATGGTCCCAGATCTCTTGCCAACTTTATTTACAAGTTACGGAGAATTTTGTGACACTGACACACACACTGCGACACGCCCAACGTCAAATTTGGAATGGTTCTACCTAACTATCCAAGCGGGTCATTCTCGTCGCTTGACCAGAGTTATATCTGAAGTGGTTTCGACGTAACCAGGAGCGTACTACCAACGCCGGGTAACCTGGCCGGCAACGATCGAGGCCAATGTCATTACCTCAACAGCTTTAACCTGACCTTTTAAATGTTGTTCACGATTAAGCCAATGAAAAGTAAGTAAATATGTAATTATAAAAAAAGGCACCAAACTGGGAAGGCTATGTAGCACCATCAAATGTGCGGAATAATCAGAGGGCGCTAAATATCACCAAGGATGCCATTACGAGAATAGAAACGCCTAAGGCGAACGATATCAAAATATCCGGTTCACCAAGAATTCTATCGAGTGACAAGCGGCCGCGGGGGACGGTCGGAAAACAAGACACACGCTCGTCCTGGAAGTCAGGACATTCAACAAGGATATGCACGACTGTAAGAGGGACAATGCAATTTGGACAATTAGGAGCAGGGCGGCGCTCCTTTAAGTGACCATGAGTTAAGCGAGTATGGCCAATATGCAACCCCGCCAGAGCCGTATCTTATCGCCGGTTGCGGTGGTAGGAGGACGGCTATGAAGACACACAACTCTTAAGAGTACGCAGTTTGTTACCAGTAACAGAAGACAATCAAGCCTGCCAACGGGCAACGATGGAGGAATGAATAATTTGATAAAAGTCAGAATAAGGAATACCTTTATGAGAGATGGGACAAAAGCGGACAGCTTCTCTAGCAGCAGCGTCCGCACGCTCATTTAAAGAGACACCAATATGGCTGGGAACCCAAGAAAACTCATCCGACTTAAATTTACCGTGAATAAGAAACAGCCAATGCTCTATCTCGACAACCACCGGATGAACCGTATTAAAGGACCCGAGAGCCATGAGGGCACTACGAGAGTTTACGACAACTACAAAGAAAGATTGACAATGAGAAAGCAGGAGACGAAGAACATACAGAATAGCATAAAGTTCCGCTGTGAAGATGCTAGTCTCCAGGGGTAAGCGACACATATAAGTGCTGTCAGGAAAAACAACAGAGTAGCCTACACCGTCTGCAGATTTAGTGTGAAGAAAAGTGCTCAAGGAAAAGGCGTTTCAAGACCGTTGGAGGGATAAAAGCTTTAGTGATGCGGGTTAAGAATGTACAAAACTGCGGAAGGAGGACTCTCCATGGAGGTTAAAAAGGAACAACACGAGGAGAAGTATTAGAAATACGAACTGAAAGAGAATCCTGTAAGCAAGATAACCGGACAGAAAGAGGGAGGTGGTGAAGAGAAACAGGAACCACAGGAGGGGTAAAAGTCATAGCATGACAGAGGCGAGAGGAAGGATGTTGCAAGGACTGTGCAAGATAGCGAAGACAGTAGCGATCACGGCGGTCCTGGAGAGACAGGAAGCCAGTGTCAACATACAAACTGAGGACGGGAGTCGAGCAAAAAGCACCAGAACTGAGGCGCAATCCAGTATAGTGTAAGGCATCACGACGGCGAAGAGTAGAATGAGAAGCAGACGAGTAAGCAGGGCAACCATAATCGAGTTGGGACAAGACGAGAGAGGAATGTAAAGCGAGGAGAGTGCCCCTATCTGCTCCCCAAGAAGTATGGGACAACACCTGAAGGAGGGTAAGGGCCTAAGAGCATTCAACTCGGAGGTAAGAGATATGGGGCGACCAAAACAAACGAGAGTCAAAAATCAGTCCAAAAAGCTTAGCGGAATCCTTGTACATAATGTGGTGACCATAAAGCAACAAAGAAGGACGAAGAACGACACGCTTCGGTGGCCCAAGATGACACGGCATCAATCGCAAGTTCAAGCCGGCGTTGAAGGAGAGACGAATCATCACCCTGACAGCAAAGGGTACGATCATCGACATAGAGAGCGGAGAAGACGTCAGAAGGAAGAGAGGAAAGAAGACCGTTGAGGGCAACCAGAAAAAAAAGAGTAGTGCTCAGAACACTACCCTGGGGCACACCTTCGTACTGCTGAAAAGAGGCAGAGAGAGCGGTACCAACCCTCAGACGAAAGGGACGACGAGAGAGGACGCTTTGGAGAAAAAGAGGGAGATTACCACGAAGGCTAAGAGAACGAAGTTGGGGCAGAATATGATACCGCCAAGTGGTGTCATAAGCCTTTTCCAGGTCAAAAAGGACGGCAACAACGGAGGTCTTCGCAGCAAAAACAGTACGAATATGGACCTCCAAGTTCACCAGGACATCTGTTGTACTGCGGCACTTGCGGAAACCAGATTGAGAAGGGGAGAGGTGGTGATAGTGTTACAGACACAGGATTTAATGAAACGAACAGAGAGAAAGATCTAAGAGTTGATATCACACCAAACCTGTCCCCTGAAGCCCACATAAAAAGATTAACGTATGCAGCATATGCGAGGCTGGCTAACAGCAGAACAGCGTTCACGAACCTGTGTAAGGAATCATTCAGAATATTGTACACCTCATATGTGAGACCAATCCTGGAGTATGCGGCCCCAGCATGGAGCCCGTACCTTGTCAAGCACAAGACGAAGCTGGAAAGAGTCCAAAGGTATGCCACTAGACCAGTCCCAGAACAAAGAGGCATGAGTTACAAGGAAAGGCTGCGGGAAATGCATCAAACGACCCTGGAAGACAGAAGAGTAAGGGGAGACATGATCACAACCTACAAAACCCTCAGGGGAATCGACCGGGTAAACAAGGATAAACTATTCAACACTGGTGGTACGCGAACAAGGGTACACAGGTGGAAACTGAGTACCCACATGAGCCACAGGGACGTTAGAAGGAAATTTTTCAGTGTCAGAGTAGTTAACGGATGGAATGCATTAGGCAGTGATGTGGTGGAGGCTGACTCCATACACAGCTTTAAATGTAGATATGATAGAGCCCAGTAGGCTCAGGAATCTGTACACCAGTTGATTGACAGTTGAGAGGCGGGACCAAAGAGCCAAAGCTCAACCCCCGCAAGCACAAATGGGTGAGTACACACACACACACACACACACACACACACACACACACACACACACACACACACACACACACACACACACACACACACACACACACACCGTTGAGAATTGTTAACCAATTTCGAAACCGCTTTAAAACTGTAGAAAAAAACAAAAACAAAATCTCTGATAAAAAATTAGACGAACCATTGTGAAGCATCAAACGAAGACTTCTGATAAATCATTGAAATAAGTTCTCTGTCAACATTGATGTCAAATAACAAAACTTAAAATTTACGTTAAATCATGAAAATTATGAGAAATTATAAGATAATTAGAAAAATATGTTTATAATTAACAATG